TAAATCATCTCGCGGGCCGGATTAAACCCGTTTGCGGGCCTGATCCGGCCCGCGGGCCGGATGTTTGACACCCCTGATGTAGATCATCTATGAATAAGTGAACAGGCACGGGTTATCATTGCTCATTGTTTATTGCGAACAAACAGTGTTGGACGTGGCACACTAACCTCACATAGTGGCTCACTACTGCCGTCTGCTGGATAATGTCGGGATTACACAATGAAATAGCACTGTGACATTGACAATGGTTCATATAATTGGAAAGTCGATTTTGACGGTTCGTTAAGTTGCTATGAACTACACTGAACAAAAATATAAACTCAACATGTAAAGTGCTGGTCACATGTTTCATGAGCTGAAATAAAAGATCCCCGAAATTTTCCCTACGCACAAAAAGCTTACTTCTCTCAAATGTTGTACACAAATTTGTTTACATCTCTGTTAGTGAGCATTTTATCCTTTGTCAAGATAATCCATCCACCTGACAGGTATGGCATATGAAGAAGCTGATAAAACAGCATGATCATTACACAGGTGCACCTTGTGCTGGGGACAATAAAAGGCCACTCTAAAATGTGAAGTTTTGTCACAGAACACAATGCCACAGATGTCTCAAGTTTTGAGGGAGCGTGCAATTGCCATGCTGACTGCAGGACTGCAGGAATTGACAGATTTCCTTATATGAACTGTAACTCAGTAAAATCGTAGAAATTGTTGCATGTTGAGTTAATATTTTTTGTTCGGTATACATTGTGCGATTACTGATTTGTAAATACAGAACACAACCATGCACAGAACACAACTTTCTCCACCCAGGATTTTTTTTTGCTTGCTATTTGTTCTATAGCAGACAGTGGTTCCAGCCGAGTGCCTGTTTTATGGACAGAGCCTGCAGTCAGGTTACAGTAATGGATGCTACCATCATCTGATTTCAGCTGAATAGGGCTTGAAACAGGAGGCTTTCTCCTGCTACCCTGGTCCCAGAGAGCTCCCTGCAGATGCTAAGCTAAGCTGTTTGAGAACAGACTATGCACCTCCACACATTGGCATTTCAAATCAAATCAAATGTTATTTGCCACATGCGCCGAATACAACAGGTGTAGACATTACAGTGAAATGCTTACTTACCAACAATGCAATTATTATTATAATAATTTTTTTAAGTTAAGTAAAACAAAAACAAAAATTAAGAGCAGCAGTAAAATAAAATAACAGTAGGGGGGCTATATACAGGGGGGTACCGGTACAGAGTCAATGTGCGGGGGCATCGGCTAGTCGAGGTAATTGAGGTAATATGTACATGTGGGTTAAAGTGACTATGCATAAATAATAGACAGAGTAGCAGCAGCGTAAAAGAGGGGGTTGGGGTAGCAATGATTAGCTGTTCAGGAGTCTTATGGCTTGGGGGTAGAAGCTGTTGAGAAGCCTTTTGGACCTAGACTTGGCGCTCCGGTACCGTTTGCCGTGCGGTAGCAGAGAGAACAGTCTATGACTAGGGTGGCTGGGGTCTTTGACAATTTTGAGGGCCTTCCTCTGGGCTCCCAGCACAGGGGGGGAAGTCGCTTCAGTGGGTTGGCTAGTTGAATGGTATTTCTGGTAAGGACTGACATTTTTCAAAGATGTCTTGCAGAATATGCATTTAGGCTAGTCATTGGGTCATTAGGCCCTATACTTCCTTGGATTTAGGAGGAGCACACAAGTTCTGCATGAATGGTAGGCTATAGGTCATTCTGAGTACTCTGTGGCTGATCAATACTATCTGTCTGAGACTCAAGATGAGGCATTGATGGGAGGATCTTTGAGAGTGATCCTCTAGTATTTCTTGTTTGGGGTTTTGCCTTGTAGGTTATAATACAAAGGGATGTTTCCATCTGTTATTGCACAAGAGAGAAGTCATTTATTCTTTGAATAATGACTTTGCTTCAAGGCCCACTCCAACTGTCTTTGTGTAGGCATGAGTCCTGTGTTCAGTATGACAAACCATGATATTGATGATATCATTACATTGTATTCACTAACAATAGCCCCTATGAAGGCTTCTTTATGTGCTGGCCGTGTTTCATTCTTTTGACGTTCTCCGCTAGTTAATGGAAGGAAAAGTCCCATCAACTAATGCAGCAAGAGCAATATCATTTCATCAACATTGCACTATTATGTGGAAAGATGTGATCTGTTGAAGGGAGTAGAGGAAACCTGCCCCTGAAGACATGAGAGAAGGGACGTTTTGACAGCTCTCGCTCGGATAAGACCTGAGGACTCTCTTCTCAAACTCTTGCGAAGACAAACATGAAGAAATGATCTGTCCACGTTTTCTTCCAATGCGCTTTGAGACAATATGGTAGCAGACGTTCTTCAGCTTGCCCTTAGCTGGCCTCACTGTCGAGGCTGAACCATGTCTTGACTGAGCCACACTTCTGGGAAATGCTAATTATGCTTTTAGATTACAGTAATGAACAGAACTTCAGTCAATCAGCCAACCTGCAAACACATTTTATCAGTACATTCTCTTCCTAGGCATGACTCCCAGCAGTACAGTATTCTATATCCTCCCAGCACACTGCAGTGTGAGCAGCACCACTGGTAGAGATCTCCAAATCAACAGAGATGCAGGCTGCATCCCCCAGGGACTCTTCTCCCTGGCAAATGTCCTTGTTCGCCCATGGCCCCTTGCTTCAAATGAGCATCGGTGAGCTGAGCGCTCTCAATCTCCCTCCTCCCTCCCTCCCTTGCTGCTATTGTCCCCTGTGTCCCCTTCATCACTATCACCACTATCTCCATTTGAAAACTGACCTCTAGAACCACTGTTCCTCAGAAGCAGCAGGTAGTGTTTTTCTTCTAGTGTAGGAGGAGGGAGAGAGGAGAGGTGAGGTGAAACTAGAGGTTGTTTCATGTGCAGTGCTTTGGCTTTTCAGCGGTGGCCCGCTTGCTGTGTTCTCCACTGCATGTGTAAATAAGCAGGCCCATCCTGAGTAGAACAGACACGGCAGCGGCGGGCCTACTGAACAAAGAGGCCCAGGATGCAGAGGGTTGGAAGGGAAGCCTGGGCTCTGTCTCTGTTTGCTTCTCCCTTTCATTCAGAGCCACTGCTCACCTCCTTTTGTCTCATCTCAGCTGAGTATTTTTCACACAGCGGGCCCTTCTGTCGGTGTGTGTGTGTGTGTTTTCTAGGCTGTTTGAAATGTAAGCACACCACCAGTCCGTTTGCCGTTCAGCCCATCTGATTTTATAAACCGCTATCATTCATTATTCAGTGGACTGAGATTTCCCTCATAATCTTGGAGCAGCTTTGCTGTAGAGAAGCTCTCGCTCTCTGTCACTCATACTGCTGCACGGACACTGACTGTATAAATTCTCTCTGTGTGTTTGTTAGTCCATCCATCATGAAACACACATGCTTCATACACCTAAAGAAGTGTATTCACTTTCATTGAATGTCCAGTTCTACCCAATGTTCTGTTTGGAACAAACCGGTTTGAGCTGTGGCCATTTGTTGATCTAGAGTAGGATGGCCCCCCTTTTGTAGGCCTGCAGATCCATTTCCCCCAAACTTTATAAATAAAGGAACTCAGTCAGGGTCTCAATTTACTGTTGAGAGTTAGAATAGTAGAATACACAAGGTGAAATTTCAAAATGTGGGTGTGCATCAGCAGTTTTATGTCAGTCACTGACAGTCACTCAATTAGCCCATGTCAGCAAAACATTTTTAGATTGGTAAGTTAGTCTAGCCAGCTATCTAAACTTTTAGCAATCATGGTGGAATTACCGACCAGGGGCCCCTATTGATTTTGTTAGTCACTCTCACTCAGATATATTAAAAATATGTCTCTCCACCCTATGGCAAAATGTGTAGAATTCTAGCAAACTTGCTTTAAATCTGCAACATTTTCTCTACGCTCATGGCAAAGTGTAGAATTGCAGGAAATGAACTCTAAAACTATAATGTTCTCTCTCTGCTGTCGAGGGGGGCCGCTAAAATGTTTTGCTCGCTAGGTGGGGTGGGTGGGGGCAACAGAACTTAACTTAGGGCCCCCAAAAGGCTAGGGCTGGCTCTAACTGCATGTGTGGGTATGGATGTGGGTACACAGACCCACGAGCCACTGGGGGTCTGTGTACCGACATGATGAGTTCTGATTTTTTGTGGCCCCCCACCCCATCAAAGTTGGACATCCCTGATCTAGAGTCTCTGTGTAGCCTATGGGTGATCAGTTGGCCGTTTTCTCAGACTTCAAGTTTGTTTATTCGTCATATACACATGATACACAGTACATTTGAGTACACTGCAATGAATTGCTTACTTGCAGACTTGATATAATTGGCTCGTTCATCAGTCTCCAGTCTCGTGTCATTCTTTCCCCAGCTCTATTCCATTGTCCTCCAATCTGTCAATGAGCACTTTAACCTTGACCTCCTAAAGATCTGACCACCAGTCTGTGGCGAAGCCCTGGCTAAGCTTTTGACTAGCCTAATCAGACCAGAGGTAACTTAAGGCGTCAGCATGCTTCAGTTCGAACTCAGCTAGCCGAACCGAAGGAGTGTGCTCGCATACTCCCTTGAAAGACCTTCACTTGAAAAATGAGAAAAAATTCAATTTTGAGACACCGTAGCCAGTATACACTTCCTCAAAAGTCCAGATTAATCTAAGATAATTTAAGGAATCTGTCATTACTTTTGACGTTTTTGCCGACGAGATCTTAGTCCCGCAATTTTAAATCTAATACTAATGCAGTATTTTTCAATGAAAAAATGTGCATGAAAACGGGTCATCTCTTGTTGAATGACAACAGACTTGATTGAAGAATCCCTACTGTTGACCAATCACCGACGATGGGGCGTAGACTTCGGCTCCGAACATTGGCTTGCCTCCCAAAAAAAAACACTGAAGTCCAAAATGAACAAAAACTTCACAAAATGTTGTCATAATATATGCACAAACTCATGCGGACTCCGTTAGGGTCACCTCCACTACTCTACACCACCGTTAGGCTACTGTGTGTAAACAAATGGAGGCAAATAAACTGTGAGTGTGAATAGGTTCAATAAGGAGGAGAATTGAAAATATGCTTTTCCATGTAGCCTTGTGGATTGTTCGATCTCTTGGCCAATATTAGGGTCAGGAATTAAGTCAATCTCCCTCCCTATCGATAGGACTCTAGAGCCATAAAATTGGATCATATTTGTTTTGCCGTCAGCAACATGTGGAAGAGCTTGGCATGTGTCGTGAAACTGAACTAATCTGTGAACCTGCGTTTCTGGATTTAATTAGTTTATTCTAAACCAGACTAAGTTGATCCATTCCAAAGTCCTCTGCCAAATCCAGGGATCTGTTCCAAAAGCTGGTTTAATCACAGATTTCCTTCTGCTGCGAGTTGCAGAAAGAAACATGTCGGCTTAGCTTATGCTTAGGGTTTTGCACAGTGCACACATAGTTTGTCCCCAGTAGATGGATGCATAGACTAAGTAGTCGAAGGAGCTGCATTTCCTGCCCTGTGAGAACAGCTGTTCAAGCGTCAATCTCTCAGACCTGACCAAGTTTCTGTTCCTCTTACACTTCCATCATCCATGTCCCAATCTGTGGTAATGGCTTCCAGTGCTGCATGCCTGGATCTCCGCTCAACCTGCTCCCTCCCTGTGCAGGTGGGTCTTTGGGATTTATTGAGAGTGGGAGTGAAGGAAGTGTCTGTTTTCTGTCTAAATGACATTAGGAATGATTAGTAAAAGTGCTGGCAGCTGCAGGGGAAGGAAGAGTCTGTTGGGCCATGGGAAGAATCTCAATTGCATACTCCTCGCGTCATCTCTCCTCGCCTCCTCAAAACCCATTGGATGAGAAAGCCAGAGGTCCAATGGGTTTTGAGGAGGAGGCAAGACGAGAAGACGCGAGCAGTATGCAATTGAGATTCTCCAATGTAGTCCTGAATCCTCCTCGGTCCTCTTCACACATCTGCCTGGTCAGGGATGACCAAGGAATGGTTAGCGCAGCGTGTCCCAAACTAGGGGTTGCCTGATTTAGAAAATGGGGTCGTGAGAAACTGAAGTAAAATAAATAAAATCGTGCTTGGTTCATAGAACCGGGGTTACGTCAGTAACCTCTGGTAGCTGCTAGATGCGGTTGTAATAAACAGAGCGGTTTCTGTTTTCTTTCTACAAGTGTGGCTCTTATCTTTTTGATCGGTTTCCCTCTACAATGCCCACAAGCGGCGCAGGACTCCTTAGAACAGAGTGGACAAGACCAGGCACTAAATCAGACTAGGGGAAAAAGAACATCATCAATGATGATGTTCTTTTCTACGCAGAAGATCATACAAAATTATTGCCTGATGTTCTTCTATACTTCCCAATACCTTTCTGATGCATTTCAGTCACTTCAAACCATGCTTCCTTCAGATTTAAATACTGTCAAAAGTACTGTCAGACTGATTTGTAATAGACTGTCATAGCCCCAATGGAAAAAAAAGTAATCATTGGCTGTTGATTGCAAAACATAAATATTAAAATGGGACCGCGGGCCAAACAATGTTGGGAACCCCTGGGTTAGCCTAATCATCCACACAGTCATGTTTGGTCCCTTCTTACAATGGCTGAACAGTCTCTACAGGGATCACAATCGAAATCACCTTTATTCGGCAAGTACATTTACACTTTAAGTCGGAAGTTTACATACACTTAGGTTGGGGTCATTAAAACTCGTTTTTCAACCACTCCACAAATTTCTTGTTAACAAACTATAGTTTTGGCAAGTCGGTTAGGACATCTACTTTGTGCATGACACAAGTAATTTTTCCAACAATTGTTTACAGACAGATTATTTCACTTATAATTCACTGTATCACAATTCCAGTGGGTCAGAAGTTTACATAAACTATGTTGACTGTGCCTTTAAACAGCTTGGAAAATTCCAGAAAATGTTGTCATGGCTCTAGAAGCTTCTGATAGGCTAATTGACATAATTTGAGTCAATTGGAGGTGTACCTGTGGATATATTTCAAGGCCTACCTTCAAACTCAGTGCCTCTTTGCTTGACATCATGGGAAAATCAAAAGAAATCAGCCAAGACCTCAAATCTTTTTTTGGACCTCCACAAGTCTGGTTCATCCTTGGGAGCAATTTACAAACGCCTGAAAGTACCACGTTCATCTGTACAAACAATAGTACGCAAGTATAAACACCATGGGACCACGCAGCCGTCACACCGCTCAGGAAGGAGACGCGTTCTGTCTCCTAGAGATGAACATACTTTGGTGCGAAAAGTGCAAATCAATCCCAGAACAACAGCAAAGGACCTTGTGAAGATGCTGGAGGAAACAGGTACAAAAGTAACTATATCCACTGTAAAACGAGTCCTATATCGACATAACCTGAAAGGCCACTCAGCAAGTAAGAAGCCACTGCTCCAAAACCGCCATAAAAAAGCCAAACTACGGTTTGCAACTTCACATGGGGACAAAGATTGTACTTTTTGGAGAAATTTCCTCTGGTCTGATGAAATAAAAATAGAACTGTTTGGCCATAATGACCATCGTTATGTTTGGAGGAAAAAGGGGGTTGCTTGTAAGCTGAAGAACACCATCCCAACCGTGAGGCACGGTGGTGGCAGCATCATGCTGTTGGGGTGCTTTGCTGCAGGAGGGGCTGGTGCACTTCACAAAATAGATGGCATCATGAGGAAGAAAAATTATGTGGATATATTGAAGCAACATCTCAAGGCCTCAGTCAGGAAGTTAAAACTTGGTCGCAAATGGGTCTTCCAAATGGACAATGACCCCAAGCATACTTCCATAGTTGTGGCAAAATGGCTTAAGGACAACAAAGTCATGGTATTGGAGTGGCCATCACAAAGCCCTGACCTCAATCCTATAGAAAATGTGTGGGCAGAACTGAAAACGCTTGTGTGAGCAAGGAGGCCTACAAACCTGACTCAGTTACACCAGCTCTGTCAGGAGGAATGGGCCAAAATTCACCCAACTTATTGTGGGAAGCTTGTGGAAGGCTAACTGAAACGTTTGACCCAAGTTAAACAATTTAAAGGCAATGCTACCGAATACTAATTGAGTGTATGTAAACTTCTGACCCACTGGGAATGTGATGAAAGAAATAAAAGCTGAAATAAATCATTCTCTCTACTATTATTCTGACATTTCACATTCTTAAAATAAAGTGGTGATCCTAACTGACCTAAAACAGGGAATATTTACTAGGATTAAATGTTAGGAATTGTGAAAAACTGAGTTTAAATGTATTTGGCTAAGGTGTATGTAAACTTCAGACTTCAACAGTACATACACCCATAATTTGACCCGGTGAAATGGTGCTGACGGCAATAGACAAAATATAGGCCTAGGCGTACAATACCCATTTAATCCTGCAGTTTTCATGTGGGAATGTCCCCTGGGTGTACAAAACATTAGGAACACCTGCTCTTTCCATGACAGGCTGACCAGGTGAAAGCTATGATCCCTTATTGATATCACTTGTTAAATCCACTTCAATCAGTGTAGATGAAGGGGAGGATTTTTAAGCTTTGAGAATTGAGACACAGATTGCGTTTGTGTGTCATTCAGAGGGTAAATGGGCAAGACAAAATATTAAAGTGCTTTGAACGGGGTATGGTAGTAGGTGCCAGGTGCACCGGTTTGAGTGTATCAAGAACTGCAACGCTGCTGGGTTTTTCACGCTCAACAATTTCCAGTGTATCAAGAATGGTCCACCACCCAAAGGACATCCGGCCTACTTGACAGAACTGTGGGAAGCATTGGAGTCAACATGGGCCAGTCCAATCCCTGCGGAATGCTTTCGACACCTTGTAGAGTCCATGCCCTGACGAATTGAGGCTTCTCTGAGGGCAAAAAGGGGTACAACTCAATATTAGGAAGGTGTTCCTAATGTTTTGTACACTCAGTGTATGTTTATTTTTCTTTCTTTCCCTCAGTTTTCTCAAATGCATTCTTCGCGTCCTTTTGAATGAGTTCTGTTCTCAGCTGGTACATTTTTCATTACCCTGAGTGGTTATGGGTGTCTATTTGTGTTGTCATAATAATCCGATCAAGCTGCTTCTCGAATCAGGATAGATCTTGAGAACCCTTTTTCCTCATCAGTCAGTTTAATTGCTGTCTTTATACCCTGGAGTGGCCCACTCTGCCGCTCCTTCTGACAGTTCAGAGAAGAAAGTTGTGTAGAGCCCAGCTGTTTCCTGGCACTCTGACTTCTCTGCTCTGTGACTGGCAGGTCTACTGATGGTGATGGGAGAGAAATGAGGCCTGACAGGAAATGGCTGATTGTTCTGTATGGCCCACACTGAGTCCACATTGATCTTTATGGACATCTGGAGCCCTCCCAAGCTGCTCTCAGAACAGGCCCAGTCTGAACAGAGGAGTTAGGCCTTTGCTGGACATATAGGCTAAATCAGAAGTCTGTTAAGACGAGCCTTACCCCTACTTATCCTAACACCACCACCCTAATACTCAAAGCACACCATGTGCTGATATGCCAGGTACATTATCTGTATAAGACAAAGAAGACATGCTTCATGCAGAATATGAAAAAGATCATGCTCCACAATGTATATGATATATCCACCAGTGTCTTTCAGTGTATTTTGTTTTATTGATATGATTCTTATGTTAGCCTAATGTTTCATGTGTGTGTTTTCATGTGTCTTGCAGCACTAACGTGGTGATGAACTACTCTGAGATCGAGTCCAAGGTGCGAGAGGCCACCAACGATGACCCATGGGGTCCCTCTGGACAGCTCATGGGAGAGATCGCCAAGTAAGGGACAAGCACTGCACAACACTGTTCTATCAAATTTACAAAAACTAGCCTAGTAGTTGGCTGGGCGATATATGTATGTTCCAAAGACCTGTATTGCAATAATAATTTTATATATATACACTGCTCAAAAAAATAAAGGGAACACTTAAACAACACATCCTAGATCTGAATGAATGAAATAATCTGATTAAATACTTTTTTCTTTACATAGTTGAATGTGCTGACAACAAAATCACACAAAAATTATCAATGGAAATCAAATTTATCAACGCATGGAGGTCTGGATTTGGAGTCACCCTCAAAATGAAAGTGGAAAACCACACTACAGGCTGATCCAACTTTGATGTAATGTCCTTAAAACAAGTCAAAATGAGGCTCAGTAGTGCGTGTGGCCTCCACGTGCCTGTATTACCTCCCTACAACGCCTGGGCATGCTCCTGATGAGGTGGCGGATGGTCTCCTGAGGGATCTCCTCCCAGACCTGGACTAAAGCATCCGCCAACTCCTGGACAGTCTGTGGTGCAACGTGGCGTTGGTGGATGGAGCGAGACATGATGTCCCAGATGTGCTCAATTGGATTCAGGTCTGGGGAACGGGCGGGCCAGTCCATAGCATCAATGCCTTCCTCTTGCAGGAACTGCTGACACACTCCAGCCACATGAGGTCTAGCATTGTCTTGCATTAGGAGGAACCCAGGGCCAACCGCACCAGCATATGGTCTCACAAGGGGTCTGAGGATCTCATCTCGGTACCTAATGGCAGTCAGGCTACCTCTGGCGAGCACATGGAGGGCTGTGCGGCCCCCCAAAGAAATGCCACCCCACACCATGACTGACCCACCGCCAAACCAGTCATGCTGGAGGATGTTGCAGGCAGCAGAACGTTCTCCACGGCGTCTCCAGACTCTGTCACGTCTGTCACATGTGCTCAGTGTGAACCTGCTTTCATCTGTGAAGAGCACAGGGCGCCAGTGGCGAATTTGCCAATCTTGGTGTTCTCTGGCAAATGCCAAACGTCCTGCACGGTGTTGGGCTGTAAGCACAACCCCCACCTGTGGACGTCGGGCCCTCATACCACCCTCATGGAGTCTGTTTCTGACCGTTTGAGCAGACACATGCACATTTGTGGCCTGCTGGAGGTCATTTTGCAGGGCTCTGGCAGTGCTCCTCCTCCTCCTCCTTGCACAAATGCGGAGGTAGCGGTCCTGCTGCTGGGTTGTTGCCCTCCTACGGCCTCCTCCACGTCTCCTGATGTACTGGCCTGTCTCCTGGTAGCGCCTCCATGCTCTGGACACTACGCTGACAGACACAGCAAACCTTCTTGCCACTCCTGGATGAGCTGCACTACCTGAGCCACTTGTGTGGGTTGTAGACTCCATCTCATGCCACCACTAGAGTGAAAGCACCGCCAGCATTCAAAAGTGACCAAAACATCAGGCAGGAAGCATAGGAACTGAGAAGTGGTCTGTGGTCACCACCTGCAGAACCACTTCTTTATTGGGGGTGTCTTGCTAATTGCCTATCATTTCCACCTCTATTCCATTTGCACAACAGCATGTGACATTTATTGTCAATCAGTGTTGCTTCCTAAGTGGACAGTTTGATTTCACAGAAGTGTGATTGACTTGGAGTTACATTGTGTTGTTTAAGTGTTCCCTTTATTTTTTTGAGCAGTGTATATATATATATCAATTTTTTTTTTTTTTTGGTCTCATATCCTTCGCTCCTTCTGTGCTGTGTGCGCTGTGCACCTTACCACTGGCAGACACCAAGCCCCTCCCCCTGCCACACAACAACAACAAAGAGCTAAAAGATCACTTCTTCCTCTCTGACAACAAGCAGTTTCAACTTGTCTTTTGCCTTTGAGGTTTGGTCAGACATATAATCGGTTATATGGGCACCGAAACACATTGAGACATTATTTTACTGTAATAGAGAAGAACTTAACCTTTGTAACAATACCCTTTTTATGTCTCAACTCCCAACTTTTTTAACAGAGCAGACCCTACCAAGACGGGAGTATCAATTAACATAATTGTGGGAAATTAATCCTGTCGCGCGCAGCATTGTGCTACCACGTACCACCTAGAATAATTTTAGCCACAGACTGTTATGTGCTAGCTGTTTAGTCTGTGTTTTATAAATGTGCAATGAATATAAAAATATGCAACTCGTTCTCATGCTGAGAAATAAGCATATTTTTATCCAGGTAGGCAACATCTAAACAAAGTGAGCAGGCTATGTTGTTCAAACAGTTGGAGACAGGCAGGAGGGTGTATTCATAACAGTTCAACTGTTCTATCTCGTTAGCAAGCAAACAGATCCAAGTGGTCTAGACTTTTAATATAAAGATTAGATGGTTACTCACTAGCAATGGGCGTGTGCTTGAGAGATTGTTTGAGACCTGTGTTCATTTTCTATAATGGCTGCTACCAGAAGTTGGTCATTATTAGTGTATGTGTATGTTTCTGGTTACATTTGTAACAAAACTGGCATTTTCATAGACTGACTTGAAAGCCAGATCAGTGATTATTGCAAAAAAGCAGGTAAAACTATTTTGATAAAATAATTAAATTATTAGTTGGTCTTATTGTTGAAGGCTTATATTTAGGCTTGGTATAATTTCACGAGCCCTAAATTCATTAGATTATTCCCGACTGTTTTTGAAATGCGGTGTATTGACCTTAAATTGTGCAACAAAGCTTATTTAGAGAAAAATGAATTTACATCGAGTTATACATCGTGAATCGCTATTTGAAAAAATAACTATGATTTTTAGGCAATATCGCCCAGCCCTAGTTGTGCATTTACCAGTCCACACTCTAATCTCATCCTTATTTCTTGATCTGCCTCTCAGATCTACGTTCATGTACGAGCAGTTCCCCGAGGTCATGAACATGCTGTGGACCAGAATGCTGAAAGACAACAAGAAGAACTGGAGAAAAGTTTACAAGGTGTGGAGAGTCTCCGTTCCACTGCTAATGTTTCATTCATACGATCATGTAGATTGCGGTGAGGAAGCCATGTTGTTTCTAACTGTGTTGCTCCTCTCCCCCAGGCCTTACTGCTACTGGCATACCTCATCAGGAACGGATCGGAGCGAGTCGTCACCAGTGCGAGGGAGCACATCTACGACCTTCGCTCCTTGGAAAACTACCATTTTGTTGGTAAGGAATCATTTGGGGCTGGCGCTGCACAGCAGCACAGAACGACGCAGAAAAGTGTGTAGCCTAAGCCTAGGTATTGATTCATTCCATAACCGTCCCACACTTCTCTTCTGAACCAATCAGGATGTCCTCAGTGGTGAGACTGTTGGTTCTCAGATGGAACACCCAGGAGAATTCATTAGTGAGGAGGAAGTCTCCATAGTTGGAGTACTGAAGTCAGTTGTATCATGTTCTGGTTTTAAATTGGTATATGCACATACAGTACCAGTGAAAAGTTTGGACACACCTACTCATTCAAGGGTTTTTCTTTATTTTTACTATTTTCTACATTGTAGAATAATAGTGAAGACATCAAAACTATGAAGTAACACATATGGAATCATGTAGTAACCACAAAAGTGTAAGTAGCCACCGTTTGCCTTGATGACAGCTTTGCACACTCTTGGCATTATCTCAACCAGCTTTACCTGGAATGCTTTTCCAACTGGCTTGAAGGGGTTCCCACATATGCTGAGCACTTGTTGGCTGCTTTTCCTTCACTCTGTGATCCAACTCATCCCAAACCATCTCAATTGGGTTGAGGTCGGGTGATTATGGAGGCCAGATCATCTGATGCAACACTCCATCACTCTCCTTCTTGGTCAAATAGCCCTTACACAACCTGGAGGTGTGTTGGGTCATTGTCCTGATGAAAAACAAATGATAGTCCCACTAATCGCAAACCAGATGGGATGGAGTATCGCTGCAGAATGCTGTAGTAGCCATGCTGGTTAAGTGTGCCTAGAATTCCAAATAAATCACAGACAGTGTCACCAGCAAAGCACCATCACACCTCCTCCTCAATGCTTCACGGTGGGAACCACACATGCGTAGATCATCCGTTCACCTACTCTGCGTCTCACAAAGACATGGCGGTTGGAACCAAAAATCTCAAATTTTGACAGATTTCCCCGGTATAATGTTCATTGCTCGTGTTTCTTGGCCCAAGCAAGTCTCTTATTATTATTGGTGTCCTTTAGTAGTGGTTTCTTTGCAGCAATTCAACCATGAAGGCCTGATTCACGCAGTCTACTATGAACAGTTGATGTTGAGATGTGTCTGTTACTTAAACTCTGTGAAGCATTTATTTGGGCTGCAATTTCTGAGGCTGGTAACTCTAATGAACTTATCCTCTGCAGCAGAGGTAACTCTGGGTCTTCCTTTCCTGTGGCAGTCCTCATGAGAGCCAGTTTCATCATAGCGCTTGATGGTTTTTGCGACTGCACTTGAAGAAACTTTCAAAGTTATTGAAATGTTCTGGATTGACTAACCTTCATGTCTTAAAATAATTATGGACTGTTGTTTCTCTTTGCTTATTTGAGCTGTTCTTGCTGTAATATGGACTTGGTATTTTACCAAATAGGGCTATCTTCTGTATACCTCCCCTACCTTGTCACAACACAACTGATTGGCTCAAACGCATTAAGAAGGAAAGAAATTCCACTATTTAACTTTTAACAAGGCACACCTGTTAATTGAAATGCATTCCAGGTGACTACCTCATGAAGCTGGTTGAGAGAATGCCAAGAGTATGCAAGGTAAAGGGTGGATACTTTGAAGATTTGTTTAACACTTGTTTGGTTACTACATGATTCCATATGTGTTATTTCATAGTTTTGATGTCTTCACTATTATTCTACAATATAGAAAATAGTAAAAATAAAGAAAACCCTGGAATGAGTAGGTGTGACCAAACCTTTGACTGGTACTGTATGTAATGTGCACAAATGAACAGTATTTAAATCATGAAGTTGAGTTTCTCTTTAGATACCAACTGTATGCATTTGTGATTTGCTATGACAGAGGTAAAAACCTTTGATGGGTTCTGTACATGTTTTGTTTCATGTTTTTGGCCTAGCCTGAATAGCTCGCCACGTGTTTTCAGTTGCAGAACACCACATGCTTTGGAGGCTAATGCCATCACAAGAATGTGAGAAACTCTGAACATGTGCATTCCAAACATAGCTTGCTGTCCCTGTCAAATTGGGACCTTGTAGCAGTCGTAAGGACAAAGATTCAGCAGGAGACATACATACATACATACATACATACATACATACATACATACATACATACATACATACATACATACATACATACAGTGGATATAAAAAGTCTACACACCCCTGTTAAAATGCCAGGTTTTTGTAACATAAAAGAATGAGACAAAGATAAATCATGTCAGAACTTTTTCCACTGTTAATGTGACCTATAATGTGAACAATTCAATTGAAAAACAAACTGAAATCTTCGAGGGGGAAAAATGAAACATAAAAACCTTCCAATAACCTGGTTGCATAAGTGTGCACACCCTCTTATAACTGGGGATGTGGCTGTGATCAGAATTAACCAATCACATTCAAACTCATGTTAAATAGAAGTCATTACACACCTGCCATCATTTAAAGTGACTCTGATTAATCACAAATAAAGTTCAGCTGTTCTAGTAGGATATTCCTGACATTTTCTCAGTTGCATCTCAGAGCAAAAGCCATGGTCTGCAGAGAGCTTCCAAAGCATCAGAGGGATCTCATTGTTGAAAGATATCAGTCAGGAGAAGGGTACAAAATAATTTCCAAAGCATTACATATACCATGGAACAAAGTGAAGACAGTCATCATCAAGTGGAGAAAATATGGCACAACAGATCCATTACCAAGAACTGGACGTCCCTCCAAAATCTATGAAAAGACGAGAAAACTGGTCAGGGAGGCTTCCAAGAGGCCTACAGCAACATTAAAGGAACTGCAGGAATTTCTGAAATTTCTGGCAAGTACTGGCTGTGTGCTATATGTGACAACAATCTCCCGTATTCTTCATATGAATGGGCTATGGGGTAGGGTGGCAAGACAGAAGCCTTTTCTTACAAAGAAAAACATCCAAGCCCGGCTGAAAATTGCAAAAACAAACATCAAGTCCCCCAAAAGCACGTGGGAAAATGTGTTATGGTCTGATGAAACCAAGGTTGAACTATTTGGCCATAATTCCAAAAGGTATGTTTGGCGCAAAAACAACACTGCACATCACCCAAAGAACACCATACCCACAGTGAAGCATGGTGGTGGCAGCATCATGCTTTGGGGCTGTTTTTCTTCAGCTGGAACCGGGGCCTTAGTCAGGGTGGAGGGAATTATGAACAGTTCCAAATACCAGGCAATTTTGGCACAAAACCTTCAGGCGTCCGTTAGAAAGATGAAGATGAAGAGGAAGTTCACCTTTCAGCACGACAACGACCCAAAGCACTCATCCAAAAGCATGGCTTCACCAGAAGAAGATTAACATTTTGGAATGGCCCAGCCAGAGCCCAGACCTGAATCCAATTGAACATCTCTGGGGTGATCTGAAGAGGGCTGTGCACAGGAGATGTCCTCACAATCTGACAGATTTGGAAAGAAGAGTGGGCAAATATTGCCACGTCAAGATGTGCCATGCTAATAGACTCCTACCCAAAAAGACTGAGTGCTGTAATAAAATCAAAAGGAAGTATTCGTTTAAGGGTGTGCACACTTATGCAACCAGGTTTTATTTTTCCCCCTCAAAGATTTCAGTTTGTTTTTCAATTGAATTGTTCATGTTATAGGTCACATTAAAGGTGGAAAAAGGTCTGACATGATTTATCTTTGTCTCATTCTTTTACATCACAAAAACCTGGCATTTTAACAGGGCTGTGTAGACTTTTTATATCCACTGTATGTATGTACGTACATACATTTTAAATTTTAGTCATTTAGCAGATGCTCTTATCCAGAGCGACTAACAGTTAGTGAGTGCATAGATATATTTTATTTAATACTGGTCCCCCGTGGTACATACATACAGTGAGGGGAAAAAAGTATTTGATCCCCTGCTGATTTTGTACGTTTGCCCACTGACAAAGAAATGATCATTCTATACTTTTAATGGTAGGTTTATTTGAACAGTGAGAGACAGAATAACAACAAAAAAATCCAGAAAAACGCATGTCAAAAATATTATGAATTGATTTGATTTTAATGAGGGAAATAAGTATTTGACCCCCTCTCAATCAGAAAGATTTCTGGCTCCCAGGTGTCTTTTATACAGGTAACGAGCTGAGATTAGGAGCACACTCTTAAAGGGAGTTCTCCTAATCTCAGCTTGTTACCTGTATAAAAGATACCTGTCCACAGAAGCAATCAATCAATCAGATTCCAAACTCTCCACCATGGCCAAGACCAAAGAGCTCTCCAAGGATGTCAGGGACAAGATTGTAGACCTACACAAGGCTGGAATGGGCTACAAGACCATCGCCAAGCAGCTTGGTGCGAAGGTGACAACAGTTGGTGCGATTATTCGCAAATGGAAGAAACAAAAAAGAACTGTCAATCTCCCTCGGCCTGGGGCTCCATGCAAGATCTCACCTCGTGGAGTTGCAATTATCATGAGAACGGTGAGGAATCAGCCCAGAACTACACAGGAGGATCTTGTCAATGATCTCAAGGCAGCTGGGACCATAGTCACCAAGAAAACAATTGGTAACACACAACGCCGTGAAGGACTGAAATCCTGCAGTGCCCGCAAGATCCCCCTGCTCAAGAAAGCACATATACAGGGCCGTCTGAAGTTTGCCAATGAACATCTGAATGATTCAGAGGAGAACTGGGTGAAAGTGTTGTGGTCAGATGAGACCAAAATCGAGCTCTTTGGCATCAACTCAACTCGCCGTGTTTGGAGGAGGAGGAATGCTGCCTATGACCCCAAGAACACCATCCCCACCGTCAAACATGGAGGTGGAAACATTATGCTTTGGGGGTGTTTTTCAGCTAAGGGGACAGGACAACTTCATCGCATCAAAGGGACGATGGACGGGGCCATGTACCGTCAAATCTTGGGTGAGAACCTCCTTCCCTCAGCCAGGGCATTGAAAATGGGTTGTGGATGGGTATTCCAGCATGACAATGACCCAAAACACACGGCCAAGGCAATAAAGGAGTGGCTCAAGAAGAAGCACATTAAGGTCCTGGAGTGGCCTAGCCAGTCTCCAGACCTTAATCCCATAGAAAATCTGTGGAGGGAGCTGACGGTTCGAGTTGCCAAACGTCAGCCTCGAAACCTTAATGACTTGGAGAAGATCTGCAAAGAGGAGTGGAACAAAATCCCTCCTGAGATATGTGCAAACCTGGTGGCCAACTACAAGAAACATCTGACCTCTGTGATTGCCAGCAAGGGTTTTGCCACCAAGTACTAAGTCATGTTTTGCAGAGAGGTCAAATACTATTTCCCTCATTCAAATGCAAATCAATTCATAACATTTTTGACATGCGTTTTTCTGGATTTTTTTGTTGTTATTCTGTCTCTCACTGTTCAAATAAACCTACCATTAAAATTATATACTGATCATGTCTTTGTCAGTGGGAAAATGTACAAAATCAGCAGGGGATCAAATACTTTTTTCCCTCACTGTACATACATACATACATACATACATACAAACTTCTGACTTTAAATGTCAGCATACCAAAATAAAAAGCCTGTCATCAGGCAAAATCTGTCTTAACCAATAAAGCACAGGTGTTGTCTACCAGGCTCCGATACAGCATGAATGTAATAATCTACTTAATGAAATACCAGAAATGACCGTAACCAAACATTCTAGATTACTTGGTGAATTGCAGGGATAAACGGTAACATCAAGACTAAATATATATTTGTGATATAGCTGGGAATTAATAAAGATTTACAAACTATTGACACAATGAAATAATCAGTGGGAACAAATTGGCAGGAGTCGGTGCACATTAGGGGAAATACATATCTATAGCGCATCTTCGCCACTCTCCCTCTTATTGTTATTATTATTATTATTATTGTTGGTGGTTATATGAGATTGCATCACTACTTTTAATATGCTCAGGGAAGTACTGTTTTGGAGGCACAATTTTGGTTCCAGTTACATTTAGAAGTTGTGAATGTTGCTCAGAACGTTCTTTCCAGAGCTGAACTACATACAGCGGTTTGCTTTCAACTTAATTTCAGTCTACACAACTTCACCTAGAGCCAAGTGACTGATCCTCAGAGTGTTCGTAGTTTCAGTGAGTGACTGAATGACTCAAAGTACATGATGTGGTTAGAGCAGTGACCCAGTAATGCCCATTTAGGGGTCTAGGACTATCTACAGGCAAAACAAGCCTGTCTAGAGATGCACACAGACCTTTGTAAAAGGTCAGATAACGTTTAGGTACATTGCAGCCTAAATCTCATTACATTCATCATGGTTATTGTCCCTTAAGGATAGGTAGCTAGAAATGTGGGTTCTCTCTCTAGAAGTTCAGTTTATCTTGAGAAATGCACAACTCTGGTAAAGTTGACCTGTTGTGGCAGATACCCCCCCTCTACCAGACACTCATCCACTTTTCAAGCTTATTTGGCTTGTTCTGTTCCCCCTCTCTTTTGCTCCCTTAGCCAAAACAAATGTCACTTTGTTTGCTGACTGTGTTGACTTCCCCTTTAACTGCTTACACTATCACCCCCCGTCACTATGGAGAATAAGCCCTCAGGGTTATGGATGGGGTTGATTCTATTGTCAGTTTTCCAATAAAATGAGCACAACCTGGAATGTTGGCACGAATGTGGGAAGCCAAAAGTTAAATGATTTCCATACTTTAATTTGGTGAATGCTAGTAAACTAAGGTTCCTATCCTGTTGTATGCTGCCAGATGAGAGTGGGAAGGATCAGGGCATCAACGTGCGTCAGAAGGTGAAGGAGATGGTGGAGTTTGTCCAGGATGACGACCGGCTCCGGGAGGAGAGGAAGAAGGCCAAGAAGAACAAGGACAAGTACATCGGGGTGTCCTCAGACTGCACTGGAGGAGGAGGCAAGACCAGCCGTAAGTGTCACCACACGGGGGGGAGGGCACATTATCTGTGATGCTCTGATAAAGGTGTGTAAGATAGAATGTGGTATTGTCTCTCAGCTCCATGCTCTCACAAATGAGATTTTATGCTGTCACAAAGTTCGTAAGGGACGTTCCCCTCAGTCAGCAGGGGCATTTTCCCTGTAAGCAGACATACAAGGTGCAAGTAAGTAAGTAAGTAAGTAAACACACTGACTGATTTACCGCTAGTCACTGTGAGTCTCTCTCTCTGCAGGCCTCGGTCTGTCAGTCTACAGACTCAGAAGGCTTCCAGAATATCACACCTCATTCCCCTCTATTCCCCACAGACCTCTCCCTCCCTCACGCCCCCTCCCTCACGCCCCCTCCCTCACGCCTCCTCCTCACTGATCTTTTGATTAGAACTGTTTTCACTCCGGGGCCAATCACGTCTTCTCTCCTCTCACATCTTCATCTGTGAGATTTCTGATCATGTTTGTACGAGAGAAACCTCTCCATTCATGTAACGGAACATATCTTCCACAAATCCCTTTTTGATTTGCTCTTTCTGATCTGCTATTCCGATATCTAATCAAGGGGGTTGGCGGGTCCCTTGCCATTTCATTAGGATTGGGTTGGAGACAACTCACTAGAGTTTGCACTTTATTTCCATGTGCCATTCATTGATTCCTCCCTTTGATTCCTGATATCTTTGATTTGCTGCTGTGATTTCCCACTTCATTAGTCAAACGAGAGTTCCCATTTGTCAATTAATGATGTGGTAGGGGTAGTTATTTTTGTCACAGGATCAAAATACCACAGCGATGGGAGACATTCATCTAGAATGTTCATCTAGGACGCTCGCTCTGTTTCAGCAGACACTGTAGCTGTGATATGTTTGTGTTGGCAATGGGCCCATTATCAATGTGGAATAAACAATTATCTGTTACATATCATAATTGGCATTCCAGATAGATCCAGTATATTTCCACAATGGCTATCATAATGTTAGTGAAGTCCTGAGTGGCGCAGTGGTCTAAGGCACTGCATCGCAGTGCTAACTGTGCCACTAGAGATCCTGGTTCGAATCCAGGCTCTGTCGCAGCCGGCCGCGACCGGGAGACTCATGGGCGGCGCACAATTGGCCCAGCGTCGTCCAGGGTAGGGGAGGGAATGGCCGGCAGGGATGTAGCTCAGTTGGTAGAGCATGGCGTTTGCAACGCCAGGGTTGTGGGTTCGTTTCCCACGGGTTCGGCCAGTATAAAAAAAAATATATATGTATTCACTAACTGGAAGTCGCTCTGGATAAGAGCGTCTGCTAAATGACTAAAATGTAAATGTAAAGTGAGGCTCACTCAGCATAGCTACAAGACATTCTAATGGTACCAAAACACACTTGATTTTTCAGCACATGTAAACCCTGTTTCCCCCCTCTCTGCCCCTCAGCGGGAGAAATGTTTGACTCGGAGCCCAGAGGGAAGTGGGATGAGGACTGGGACAAGAGCAAGGGAGCCTTCCCCTTCAGTGAGAAGCTGGGAGAGATCAGCGACAAGATCGGCAGCACCATCGACGACACCATCAACAAGTTCCGCAAGAAGGAGAAGGATGACTCGCCCGACAGAATCAGGTATTGCCGAGTGTATTTAAGTACGCTGGCCAAAACGCTTAAGTCAATACAAATCTACTTGATAATGGATCATTTCTTCTTGAAAGACCTAATATAAGATAATCTTCACTTTTTTAATGTGTTCTTTGGGTCCTTTTCTATCTCCCCCAGTGACGACGAAGAGGACAGGGTATCGCGGAACGGCCGGCCGTTGTCAGGGTCGGAATCAGGGAATCTGTCGGGGATGGAGTTCAAAGACGAGGAGGAGACTGTTACGACCAAGAGCGTCCAGATCACCCAGGCAACAGAGACCACCACCACCACACGCAAACGGGGCGGCGTCCCATCCAAAACCGTGGACCTGGGGGCCGCCGCACACTACACAGGGGACAGGAGCAGTCTGGACGCAGACAACGCCAAGGTACCACTGCCCTTGTGTACCACTCTGACCGCTGACCTAGGCCGCTACTGTACGTCAGCGGAGGCCTGTAGCAGGGATGGACTCCACACAGCACCTGCTTTTGAAGCCTGTAGAGAACACTGTTGTATTGACTGCATCATCTATTTTCATCAGTGCGTTTTTATTGAGACTGAAGCACAAGATGGTGGTAATTTCCAGTGGGACAGAAGGCAGGCCGTGTTTCATCTGTTCTGACTGTCTAATGACATGATAGATGTGGATGGCAGGAGGAATAGGGAACAGTAGGAGATCCTGTGCTGCCTATTCCTGACTGTTTCTAGACCAATGCTGCCCTCTTGTGGCTGCTCTAAGAAGTGTAGCACCCCGTTTTATTCCAACTCCATTTAAACAACCATTCTCTTTCTCTTGTCTTCAGACGTCGGTCAGCCAGACTTCAAGCAGTGGCCTTGCAGACCTTCTGATGGTGGACTCTGGGTCCAGTCAGGCGGCACCAGCAGGTAAGACTGATCACTCACTCATCTAATGAGTCACTCAACCACAGTGGTATAGACATATTGAGAAGAGCTTGGTATTCAAAGTGATGGCACTCTAAAGTAAGATGGCTCAAAGCCATCGACGTATAGAATTGCCCTGAACAGCTCCTCCAGAATCGTCTGTGAGTAGTCGAGGAGGGGAAGGCCGGAGGCAGGCAGGCCTAAGAGGCCCAGATGTCAGGCAGCTTAGCTAGATGAGAGAAGTGTGGTGGCAGAGCATGGCATGGCCAGCTGTCTGAGGCTGAGGCAGTCTCTGGTGGGAAGGGAGTGCTGCATGCACACACACACACGCACACAGATGCTGCTGTCCCTGCTCATCGTGTCCTTGCCTCCTCCAACCAAACAGCTGGGGCCTGTCTCACACACTTAGCCATACACTCTGGGAGGGAGGTAGAGGAAGACATCCTCATCACCTCCGCTGTCACACTCTGTTCTCACTCTCTTTCACTGTGTGTGTGTGTGTGTGTGTGTGTGTGTGTGTGTGCGCCATTCCAGGTGGAAGTTCAGACCTCATCGGTGGCTTTGCTGACTTCTCTTCTCCAGCTGCCTCTGCCAGTCTCCCTTCATCAGCCGGTACGTCTCACTGCTTTCTCTCGCCATCGTCTGAACGCTATCCTCTTTCTGTATCACAGCTCCGACATTAATCTTAGGCAGGCCGCTCCCACTTCCCAATGACAGGGAGTCGGGTTAAATCCAGCAGAAAGGTTTTCATAAACCTAGGAGCAGCTTGTGAGGGGAGAACAGAAGAGGTGAATACCTTAGTACAGAAGCACCCATGACAGAGATATTTTGAGGATCCAAAGGCCCTCCTCCCGTTCCTCTCCGCGCCATCTCCTGCTGAGGGGTTTGTGGTTGCGGCCCACGTCCTGTCCTGTGGAAGGGAAGGTGGTGAAATATTGATGAGTCACTACCTCCTGAGCCTTATGAGGACAGACACCTGTCAGCTCCCATTTGATACAGCTTATCTCCCTCATCCTCCACCCTCCGCTCTGCTCTAGATGGATGGATGGATGGATGGATGGATGGATGGATGGATGGATGGATGGATGGATGGATGGATGGATGGATAAAAAGAGAGAGGGATGGATGGAGGGAAGATGAGAGGGCAAGTCTTTGGCAGTTTATCTGCTATCTAGATTGGATTTACACTGTACAAAACATCTCTTTCCATGACGTAGACATAGGTGAATCCAGGTGAAAGCTATGATGCCTTATTGATGTCACTTGTTAAATCCACTTTAATCAGTGTAGATGAAGGGGAGGAGACAGGTGAAAGAAGGATTGAGACAATTGAGACATGGATTGGGTATGTGTACCTTTCAAATTGTGAATGGGCAAGACAAAATATTGAAGTGCCTTTGAACGGGGTATGGTAGTAGGTGCCAGGCGCACCCGTTTGAGTGTGTCAAGAACTGCAACGCTGCTGGGTTTTTCACGCTCAACAGTTTCCAGTGTGTATCAAGAATGGCCCACCACCCAAAGGACACCCAGCCAACTCGACACCTTGTAGAGTCCATGGCCTGACGAATTGAGGATGTTCTGAGGGGAAAAAGGGGGTGCAACTCAATATTAGGAAGTTCTAATCAGTCATTATCAGAGTCCTCCCTGGATTTCTATGTGTGTGTGTGTTCCCTGCAGTACCCTCTCAGGTGTCAGGTCCCATCAGCACTGTGCTATGTGTGTGCTGATACTCCCCTTGGGCGATCTCTGCCTGACAGGGTGCACATCGCCCTTTCAGAAGAAATCGCACATGTATGCCCCATGCCTTACTTATTTATCTTCAAGTTGACACTGTGGATAATAAAATCTTTACTTATTTTGAAAAAATATTTTAAGATAAGCACAGCAACTCATTTATTTTTTCAAAGAAAAATCACCAAAATTGTTTCATTTAAAATCTTTGGGATGAGGGTGGTTAGAGATTCATAGATATGAATCTGGTGTATTCTTTCATTTTCTAAATGAGCCTCTATTCTCTCCCTAGGGCCAGGGTCAAATGGGAATGGTGAGTTTGGGGACTGGACTGCGTTCTCCAGTCCTCCGGCCACCACTCCTCCATCTCAGCCAATCACAGACCTGTTTGGTAGCATTCAGCCTCAACTAGCCTCGGCCCCCACCCCGCCCTCAGCTGACCTCTTTGACCTGATGGGCTCCAATCACACCTCCCTCAGCACCTCCCAAAGCATGACCTTCTCAATGTGTGGTACCCAGAGTGTGGGCGTTGCCAACAATGGCCTGCCCATCTCCAGATCACAGGTACGGGTGGCTCACAGGCCTCCACCTCACTACACGAGCCATTGTTATAGATAGGGGTGCCTCATTATCACTGAAGATACGTTGTGAATACAAAGAAGGATGTATGTTGTGTGATTGTAGGATTGGTGAATGTCTTGTCTCTTCTTTGGGTTGATGTAGAACTTTGGGCCAATGCAGGGGGGCTTATTGCCGCAGCACATGGGACTCCAGAAGCCCTCCCTCCCCCCCACGTGGTCGGAACCCAGCGTTAACATCAGCCTGGACTTCCTGTCTCCTGGTATGCAGATGGCCAACTGTAAGCCCAGCCTCAATATGTTACAGCAAGGTCTGTTATTAACTCACGCTCTCCACTTATTTCTCTCACTTGTAATGTGAATATCTGTGTGTCAGTGCAGGGAGATTGAAATGAGAGTAATATCACCATATTTGTCATTTCAGATCCCCTGCTTCCAGGAGTCCAATCACCCATCAACCTGGCTCAGAGTTTTGGAGGCCTGAATCTGAACATCCAGCCCACAGCCACACCCATCAGACCTCCCACCAACCCCATGATGCCCACCAGCGCCATGGGCCTGGGCATGCCTCTCACCATGGCAACAGGTACCATGGGGATGGGCGCCATGAGAATGGGAGGAGTGCCTGTCAATCAGGGAATCATGGGAATTAACATGGGCGTGGCCCCCGCAGGCATGGGCCTGCAAGGCACCCTGGGTATGCCAGGAATGGGCATGGGGCAGCCCATGGTCAACCCCGCCATGGTGCAACCCAAACAAGATGCCTTCGCAAACTCCGTCAACTTCGGGAAATGAGAGCGCTAAAGGATTTGTGTGGAAGAGTATCGGTCAGAATACACCATTTTGAAGGAAAAGCTACTACTTGAAAAATATCTGATGGTGTTACCCTTCAATCCCTACTCTTTATGTATACAGGTAGCTGCCAAAATAATGGAAACACTTGAGTAAATATTGAAAGCAGGTGCTTCCACACAGGTGTGGTTCCTGATTTAATTAAGTAATTAATATCCCATCATGCTTAGGGTCATGTATAAAAATGCTGGGCAAGTCATTATTTTGGCTACCATGGCTATGCCCCCATAGGATGACAATACCCTCATCCACAGGGCACGAGTGGTCACTGAATGGTTTGATGAGCATGAAAACTATGTAAACCTTATGACATGGCCGTCTCAGTCACCAGATCTCAACCCAATTTAACACATGGGAGATTCTGGAGCGGTGCCTGAGATTTGTGTTTTCTACCACCATCAACAAAACACCAAATTATAGAATTTCTCATGGAAGAATGGTGTCGCATCCCTCCAATAGAGTTCCAGACACTAGTAGAATCTATGCCAAGGCACATTGAAGCTGTTCTGGCTCTTAGTGGCCCAACACCCTATTAAGACACTTTGTTAAGGTGTTTCCTTTATTTTGGCAGTTACCTATGTATACTGAACAAAAATATAAATGCAACATGCAACCATTTCATTGATTTTACTGAGTTATAGTTCATATGAGGAAATCAGTCAATTGAAATAAATAAATTAGGCCCTAATCTATGGATTTCACATGACTGGGAATACAGATATGCATATATATAAAATGGGCCTCATAATGGGCCCCAGGATCTCGTCACTGTATCTCTGTGCATTCAAATTGCCATCCATAAAATGCAATTGTGTTCGTTGTCCGTAGCTTATGCGTGCCCATACCATAACCCCGCCACCATGGGGCACTCTGTTCACGTTGACATCAGCAAACCGCTCGCCCACACAACGCCATACACGTGGTCTGCGGTTGTGAGGCCGGTTGGACGTACTGCCAAATTCTCTAAAACAATGTTGCAGGTGGCTTATGGTAGAGAAATGAACATTCAATTCTCTGGCAACAGCTCTGGTGGGCATTCCTGCAGTCAGCATGCCAATTGCATGCTCCCTCAAAACTTGAGACATCTGTAAACTGCCTTTTATTGTACCCAGCACAAGGAGCACCTGTGTAATGATCATGCCGTTTAATCAGCTTCTTGATATGCCACACCTGTCAGGTGGATGGATTATCTTGGCAAAGGAGAAATGCTCACTAACAGGGATGTAAACAAATTTGTGCCCAAAATTTGAGAGAGAAAAAAGCTTTTTGTGCGTATGGAACATTTCTGGGATCTTTAATTTCAGCTCATGAAATATGGGACCAACACTTTACGTTGCATTTATATTTTTGTTCAGTCTATGTACTGTATAAATCAAGAGTTTGAATTTGTTTTGGAGGGGGGGGGGTTGCTTATCTAATGTGACATTTTGTAAATGGTTGAAAGCATATACATACAGTATACTTTCTTTTTTTAAAGGAGAAAGATGTCTCTCTCTCCAACACCAGATAAATACTCTAGAAAACATGGTAGGCATGTTACGTTGTCCCTTTTCTACTTTCATGTTGTCATTTCTCTGTTTCTAACCTGTCATAAGAATGTTCAGGAATTACCTCACATTGACCATACTTCATTGATCATATGTAAATATACTTTTGGTGTGCAAAAAATAAATTATTCGCTTTATTGATGACGTCTTGGACAGTATGACGTGGAGAGCAAGCTTAAAGGATAAAGAAGTCCAAGTCCTTAAGTTTTTTGTTTTGATGTCCTGATACATTTGAATATCTGAAACCTACAGTTTGTTACTGGTGCGTGTTTAAGCTGAACTTTCAATTCCCTCGGTTCTATTGCCTGTTCTACCATCAAAGGGGGTTAACAATCAGAATCAGCATTAAGCAAAGCGGTTAACCACAAGCACCAGCCTCTGTTGATGCGTCCCAAATGGCACCCTATTCCCTATACACTGAATACGGCCCCGTGTAGCTCAGTTGGTAGAGCATGGCGCTTGCAACGCCAGGGTTGTGGGTTCGTTTCCCACGGGGGGGCCAGTATGAAAACATGTATGCACTCACTAACTGTAAGTCGCTCTGGATAAGAGCGTCTGCTAAATGACTAAAATGTCAGATGTACAAGACATTAAGGACACCCCTCCCCCTTTTGCCCTCAGAACAGCCTCAATTCGTCGGGGCATGGACTCTACAAGGTGTCGAAAGCGTTCCACAGGGATGCTGGCCCATGTTGGCTGGATGTCCTTTGGGTGGTGGACCATTCTTGATACACACGGGAAACTGTTGAGCGTGAAAAACCCAGCAGCGTTGCAGTTCTTGACACAAACCGGTGCGCCTGGCACCTACTACCGTACCCCGTTCAAATGCACTTCAATCTTTTCTTAACCATTCACCCTCTGAATGGCACACATACACAATCCATGTCTCAAGGCTTAAAAATCCTCCTTTAACACGTCTCCTCCCCTTCATCTACACTGATATGAAGTGGATTTAACAAGTGACATCAATAAGGGATCATAGCTTTCACCTGGTCAGTCTATGTCATGGAAAGCGCAGGTGTCCTTAATGTTATGTACACTGTATAGTGCACTATAAAGGGAATGGGGTGCCATTTGGGACTCATGGGCTTTTCCATCCCAATGTGATCATGTACAGTGGCATTGTTAGTGTTACCCAGGCAGAGGCTGTCCTTCTCCTTCCTGCTATATGGTGCCTCACAGTGAAACCCATGCCATGTCGGTCATGAGTATGGTCACAACAGCTGACACAAGAATAAATCACTATTTGATTGAGATCCTTGATCGTTCAAGTCCTTTTTAAGTATATTCACGGATATTAAGCCCATATATGCCACAGCTTGGTATGACGTGTGTGTTGTGAGGTCATTGTGGGGATGTGTGTGACTGCATGGCCAGCAGGAGTGGCCAGGTGTTGATGGGGAGACAGGGTTTAATGGGACTGTGTGATGAGTGAAACTGTCTGCATCCCTGCCTAGCACTCTAACGGGAGAGTGGGGATGGACCGAGAGAGAGAGATGGGGGCTGAGTCCGCCTGACCTGCCCAGTGGTACCCCTCATCACTCTCGCTTCCACTGTGAAGGCTGAAACCGGTGTTTCTGTCTCGCGTCTCTCTCAATGTGAAGGTTATTTCAAAGGGTGCTTGTGTCTTGCATCGTGTGTGTGTGTGTGTGTGTGTTTTTCTCTCCATTTGCTGCTGTGCACACAGACGCAAAATAACACACCTTTCTGTCACACTCCGAGGCATTACGTTTCAAATGACCAAATGTTTATTTTATTACTCAAGATTATTCCATAGTGTTATTTTAATATTTTAAAATGTAATATTATAAAGACTGTAATATTATGTTAATTTACATAATGTTGAATGAATGGGAGAGTTACTAAAACCATTATTAGTTTATGCAAATGTAAAACATAGAAGGATAAAGCACCTCTTTCATAAACTACTTTCTTTACTTTTCAGTACATATTGTTTTGATTGTACTCAACAATATTTTATGTATTTCAATAAACTGTTCATTAAATCATGAGTAGAAGGCAATTTATTTCTCATGCAAAGGTTCTATTTTAAGTTATATACATTTTTTTTTTGCTTAAAGGGATGCTCCTTGACAAACCCAATGGCAACATCAACAGTCACTTTGCTTGTACAGTATCATTTTCATCGAATATTCCTTTTTGGTCCCAAATAAGATGGACCGGAGTGTGAAGGAGGGGATAGCGGGACATTAAAGTTATCCATTAGTAACACGATGGGTATAATTAAAGCATGTACAGTGCCTTCAGAAAGTATTCACATCTCTTGACTTTTTCCACATTTTGTTGTATTACAGCCTGAATTTAAAATGGATTAAATTGAGATTTTGTGTCACTGGCCTACACACAATACCCCATAATGTCAAAGTGGAATTATGTTTTTAGACATTTTTGCTAATAAATTAAAAATGAAAAGCTGAAATGTCTTGAGCCAATACATATTCAACCCCCTTTTTATGTGACCAATAAAACTCAATAATAGTGTTTAACATACAATTCTTTGTAAGGTCCCTCGTCGAGCAGTGATTTTCAAACACAGATTAAACCACAAAGACCAGGGAGGTTTTCCAATGCCTCGCAAAGAAGGGCTCCTATTGGTAGATGGGTAAACATTGAAAAAGCAGACACTGAATGTCCCTTTGAGCATGGTGAAGTTATTCATTACACTTTGGATGGTGCATCAATACACCCAGTCACTCTAAAGATACAGGCATTCTTCATAACTCAGTTGCTGGAGAGGAAGGAAACCACTCAGGGATTGCACCATGAGGCCAATGGTGACTTTAAAACAGTTACAGTGTTTAATGGCTGTGATAGGAAAAAAACTGAGGATGGATCAACAACATTGTAGTTACTCCACAATACTAACCTAATTGACAGAGTAAAAAGAAGGAAGCCTATACAGAATAAAAAATATTCCAAAACATGCATCCTGTTTGCAATAAGGCAGGCACTAAAGTAAAACTGCAGAAAATGTGGAAAGAAATTAACTTTTTGTCCTGAATACAAAGCGTTATGTTTGGGGCAAATCCAACACATCACTGAGTACCACTCTTCATATTTTCAAGCATGGTGGTGGCTGCATCATGTTATGTGTATGCTTGTCATCGGCAAGGACTAGGGAGTTTTTTAGCATAAAAAGAAACGGAATAGAGCTAACCACAGGCAAAATCCTAGAGGAAAGGTTTGTTCAGTCTGCTTTCCAACAGACACTGGGAGACAAATGCACCTTTCAGCAGGATAATATCCTAAAGGCCAAATATACAATGGAGTTGCTTACCAAGACAACATTGAATGTTCCTGAGTGGCTTAGTTACAGTTTTGACTTAAATCGACTTGAAAATCTATAGCAAGACTTGAAAATGGCTGTCTAGCAATGATCAACAACCAACTTGACATAGTTTGAATGTTTTGTTAAAGAATAATGTGCAAATATTGTACAATCCAGGTGTGTGCAAAGCTCTTAGATACTTACCCAGAAA